CCCTTTTGGGCTGATTCCATTTCGAAATAAAAATTTTCTCTTCCACAAGGCGATCTATTCATCTTAAACAGCTAGGTAGCAATGCAGTGTGTTTTTCGAATTACAGAAAGAATGTTAGTACTTTTGCACTTAACACTGAAACATAACATCGACTCAAGGCCTGTTCACAACCCCTTGATATCATTGACCTCTAAGAGACACAAAAATATAACAAAATTCATAATTCTGGGATATTGGCCACTAGATCAGTACAAGAATTTTATATTCTCCTTTAATTGGTCAGGGGCCGTTTCGAAAGCGTCATAAAATGTCTGGGTGCGGGGCAGGGACAAATCAATATGTTCTCCTTCTATAGGTCAAGATAATCGGCGCCGTTTAGAAAGCTTAAAAAAAAATATCTGGGTGTTGGAAACATGCGGACTAACCGTCTGTTTATATCTTGGTCATGCAATCTTGGTCATGCAATCACGACGCTGATCTTTTCGGCTTAATTTGAATATGTTTAAATTACATCTTTAGAGCTAGAAACTTAGCAGAACTTTTCCAAACACGGTTGTTCGCGATTTTAACCCACGAAAGGAAACAATTAGGTCTATGGTTTATTTTACAACTCTAGGCTTAAAAAAGTCACCAACCATTCTATATAGGTCACCTTCATAATATTCAGTTGCTAGTCGAATGATTATAAAATTGCGTGGTTACGTCTTGACACCCTAGCCGGATTACAGAACCCGGTATTATCACCATTTTAGATCATTTAGAGCACTTTGCGAAAACATTTTGAAAGATCAGCTCTAAAAAGCTTCACCAGGAATATCACAAACGGCAGAAAGAACTCGGAATAAAAGCCAGCAAACTGCGAGAGATGCAAGAAAACAGGAGTGGCTTTAGTTTTTCATCACATTGCTTGAAAAGTTAGCATCAGTTCTCGTGGCCTTTGGCAGAGCGAAGTAAAAAAAGGAAACAAGACTTCGCCTCATTTAGTTACAAAGCCCTTGTGCTCTGCAAAAGTTATTCTCGCAGGCACGACAATTGCCTCAATTTCGTTCCGCACGGGCCCTAAATATCACTGTTTTGACTAAGTTGATCAAACTAGCACCATATATAATTTGCCGTTAAAAGAATAATTTTTTCAACATTTTGAGTTGCAAATGTACATCATTTGAAGCAAAAACTAGACGCTCAAGGAGCGTTCACTCGGACCTCGTATCAAGCGTTTTACTTGAGCATTCACCCCGCGTAAAATTTATACGAAACTATATCCGGGACCTGGGTGGGGAATTTTCGATATTGGTCACTCTAGTACCACTTTTTGACGGTTATTTGTGCCAACAGTGAGTTTCATTACTTGTGTGAAAAGACAAAATTTCATTAGCCTGTGTGCAGCCGTTTCCCTCCTCGCAAAAAAATTCGGGACAGCTCTCTCCTCGATTTTTTTGAGTGGAGGGGGCGCGGGGCAGCTGTATACTTAAAATCAAGTTCTGTAAAGAAATCCTGCTTTCAGTTAAATTACTTTTAAGTAAAATTCTCTGCGACTTACTTCATTAACGTGTACATTTGTCTTAGTGCCAAAAATTATAATACTATCAGCCAGGGTAACAGATGTTAAACGGTGCTTACTGTGCATTGTATTGTTTAAGCTGAAATCCATTTTCAATGAGTGCATTTAAGGTATTTGAGTTCCAGTAAATACGAGATGAAATGGTCGAGTAACATATAGAATAGAGAGCTACTGCAAAACAGTGGTCTTTGTGACACTTGTGTTGACCTGCTAATTTCTTTAATACTTCTCTTACACTGCTGCTTATTGCCGCGTCATATTTTGTCATTTGTAAACCTTTTAATTCATACAGATCAAATGCTCTATGCAAACTTTGAAAGTAATGCACTAAGTTGTCTATAGATGATATATCTAATAGAACACATGTCCCTCGAGCGTGACTTTTATCATAAACATCTCTAGCAAGTGTGTCAAACATTTTAAAATAGCCATTATCAGCACAATGATAAGTACCTACAGCAATACATCCAACTGTTAAATAAATCACCTATATCGTTCTGATATCAAAGACCCAAAAGGTCTTTTCAGGCCCATAAAGTATCGATATTACTTAATGGTAGGCTCACCATGGACATTACCAATAATAGTAAAAGTAATAGTAATCCAAGTTTAATTTCTTTACGTGGGGCATGGTTACCCATATTGCCCGAGCCAGAGGCTCCTGTATGAAACGGAAGACAACAACCCACCCATCCCACCCCAGGGGGGGACATCCATCACACAGTAATCTCGTGCGTGGAAAAAGAACGTCTCTTAATTCTAACCCTACAGGAGACGGGACCTCCATTTATTCGTCCCTATCCGAGAAGACTAGAATATCTAAATCATTTCTTGATGTTATAGAGGGGCAGCACATTCTTCTCAATTATTTTAAGACCTTGTGTATTGATCCGGCCGGGCCTCCAACCCTCGACCTCCCGCACATCAGTCAATCTGTCAGCAGTAAAAATGATTGTCTTGATAATTGTAACAAACTGCTATATAGTTGATTTCCAATTTGAATTTTTTATTTCAAGTCATCGCGATTGCCTATTCCTTTCATCTTGTGGTATATTAATAATACACATAAACTCATTGCAACACGTCTAATTTGCCCTGCATTTTGTCCAAATACAACACCCCTTGACTACATGGTGCTTTTATTATTTTATTGGGATCCACATGGTGCATACCAGGACCAGGGTTTTTCTCTATATCATTATAGAGCTTGTTCTTTGTAAAATTGCCTCTGTGACTTACACCCTTGTATGGGAAATTAGATGAAAAGAACTCTAAGTATTTCAGATATTTCTTTCCATGTTTATCTCTACTTAGTGTGGACATATCTCATCGAAGATTTCAGTCAGTTAACGTTTCTTGTTCTAAAAATTGGTTTCCTTTTCATTTTTTGTACAAACCTGAATCTTGTCTTATGTGTACTTTTCTTTCGTGCTCCATTATTTTAAAGGATATCATGGACTTTCGATGACTTTGGTACGTTTTTACTTAAACGGCTCCATACATAACTCTATAGTTTTATACTTTTCTGAGAGAGACATTTTAACATATTCACTGGTACTCTGCTTGGTTAACGATCACGTTTATAGCCATGGTATTCCCACAAAACACGAGTACAATTATAATATACATACTTTGCATAACGAGATCTGAACTGTTGTACTTTTATTGACACTTTAACATCATTACGTTCATGTACATTAGTCATCTTAAGAACTTTTTCTAGTAGATCACAGTCATCAAGAGTATTCTTCGGGTCTTCTCCTAAGCACGTAGAACGCTTTGCGAAGAACAAACCAACATTCACCATCGCGTGTACAATAATGATAGTAATTATGTGCAAAATACCAAATCGCACATTACATGTATTGAACCTAATAAAAACCAATAACAAAAACAGGATATTTGACGGAAGATCTATTATTGTACAACAGCTTGTACAATAATAGTAGTGATTATGTACGAAATACCACATCGTACTTTACAATTATTGAACCCGATAAAACCAATTACAGAATTAGGATGTTAAACGGATAAGCTAAGCTGAGATATTTAACCTTACTATTCAAGTTGCTTCTGTCAGTATCCTTATCCAATTGGCTGTCGTTAACGCCACCTTCGAAGTTGTGCTCACGAACATTCTTGATTTCTTCAGCAAGTGAGGTGTTCGTCTCAGCATCATAGTTTGTGGTTAAATTGGCTGTCACAGTTTTGCAAATATTTCGTAGTTTGAACTCACATAGGGCTCATTTGTTATCTCGTGAGAACTAGTATGAACTTTTCATATTTGAGATGAGCATCTAAGAAAGGAATTTTTGCCAAGCGGTCTTCGCAAAACACGGCACTCTGTAAATTATGTTGTTTACGAAGAGCGAGCACATGATAACACAAGTTTTCGCACTCTCACCTTAGTTTCCGTGGTTAACGCAAGGAACGCCTGGGACCATGAACCCACTTTTGGCGACCAGGGATGGCTTGCATTTTAAGACTAAGGGGAAGCCCGAGAAATAATTTGACAGTTGATGTCGAGTTTAAACCGCAGTGTGAACGAAATCTAGATTTTAAGTGACTTCTCTTTAGATGGAGCTTAATTTGACTCTCTCCTTCTTCATAATTAAAAGTCATACTCCACGTAGATTAACACATCTTTTGTAAACAGATGGAAATTATCTGAAAGTAAGAAATTACTTATTCTTAATTTTTCGTCGCACTGCGATTCTTTTTTTGTAACGTAATTTATTCAGCTCTTTACATAGCACTCTTCGGTTTTGCCAGTGCGGTGGATCCACTCCAAAAGAGCTGATGCATCTTGAACAGTAAAGTGATCTATCATTTGTAGTTCCCCAAGAGTGTATAATTTTCCTTTTTGTTTCATAAAAAAATAAACTAACGGTTGCTCTTACCTTGAGATCTTTGGAATTGCGAACTATTGGTTTTTCTGGTAAGAATGTGTCCCCTAAACACAATTTGTTCAAACAGCTGCGTTTTATCTTCTTCAACTGGTAACGTACATCGAATGCAGTCATCCCATCAGCTCCTGCCCTGGTCGGTTGAGAGTTCAAGAGCAATTATACCTTAGTAAATTTAGGAATTGTTATAGAGTCATTAACGTTGGATTATTGAACTAACATCCCAAAAAACTAGATATCTGTTCGGCATAAACACGAGATTGGCAAGTTTAATTTGCTGGGAATATCATCGTTTTCGCCTGATACCTATGGGATCGGGCAGAAGACTAAAAAAAACCCTTTTCAAAGCAATCTCTTGCAAATCGCTTTCGCCTAACAACTTTCCGGTCAAATGTACATTTGTATATTCACGGTGTTCATCAAAACACTTTTGGCAGATGGCTGTTTAGACCTAACTTGAAACGACTTTCTTCTTATGATGATAAAACTGTAAATCAAAGGCACTGGAACACAGAAAGTATCAAATACGCATGTTACGCATATTGCGAGTACCTTTTATTTGCAATATATATAACAAGCGAAATCCAGAAGTAGAAGTTGCATTTTTCCTATATATATTTCTTCCCAGGTTGATCCTGGTATGCGATGATAAAAATACTATTTCTTCATTTCAGTATACGAACATTTCTTTCTCCTAGTTACAGGTAGATAGTAACTACATACATCCGATTTTGGAATCAACTTAAGAGAAGAGGACTAAGGAGGCAGCTACAGCATATCGCTGCTAAGTAGTAAACCTCTCACAGAAAATTCCTTGGAAGAACATTTTTTCTATGTTTGTGGAAGATTTAGCGATAAGTCTCGGGAAATGTTGGAAAAATTATTTCTCTCGCAAATTTTAAGAAAAGTTTATTCGGGTAAAACAATATTAATATATTTTTAGTGTTCTGAATGTTCTATTCTTGAGCGGCTACCAGACAAGTCTAAAATAAGATTTCAATATCGATTGCAAATATGCCTTGATGTAAACGTCATTGCGCCCTCGCTACAACTGGACACGTTTGAAAAAAGTTAACACACCAATTAAAAAAAGATATAAAGGGAAATTGACAGTATGTTAAAAACCTAAATGGTTCTCCCCCTCGCTTCTGGTTCAACTCTAAATCAACTTCTCTACAGACTCTTGTTGAATAAATGGCTTTATGTTTCCCCCTCAGGATAGACACTCCCAGTAGTGGATGTAGCAATACATCTTTGGTTCTCCACTTGATAGGGTACCTTCGCATCTGCACTTGTAGACACCTGGGTTGGGGCTTGATAATTGAACAACTTTTGCGTCATTTGTATCACAGCTTACACCAATAAACGTTTTACCCTGCCAAAACAAGAGGATGATGATAATGATAAATGACGTCAAGATTTGGTTTCTTTTACGACAGATAGTCAATAAACGTCCCATTCTGCCGAAAACGAAAAAGGGTAACCATACCGAAAATACTGATTATCAATGATTATGGTAAATGACGTCAGAGTTCGATATGCGAAGGACTAATTAATTTTTTTTCCTGTTTGTGAATAGGTAAACCATCTCTCTTAGTAAATGTACACATGTGTAACTGAACATTTTTTAAAATGCAAGGATAGCCGACGGAGAAAATTTGCGACATTCTTCTTTCGACTTCTCCATCTAGAAACGATGTATCATTAATGCATTCAGAAACTCAAAGAGGTAATTTTTTTTGTCCCCCTCCCTAATACAATATCTAACGCAAATTTTCCAAAATACCCTTTGCGTTGTTCGTTGGCACAGGCAAAGCTCTGTAATCTTTACAGTTTCGAGTGTGTCCATAATCGATTTGTGACCTACTCTCGTTTTTCCGGAACAGTATAAAATTTTTCTGTGTAGCATTTGATTCGGCTCCCACAGACAAAACTAAATCGCGTCTAATTTCCTATAGACACGCTGTCTAATTGGAGTACTGCTTGAGTACTGCTGCAGTTCGTATGCTTCTTGAACACAGGCTGGTGATGGCTTTTACGGCTAACGGTTTAATTTTTGGCCATTTTACGGCTAACGGTAAATATCAATCATTGTTGTCACCACAAATTTTTTTTACCCTTAATTTTTTTACGACTTTAGGTTACGATGTGTTCAACTTTTTACGCTTAAGGACTATCATGGAACTTTCAAGGAAAATTCTATTACGTTATGTAGTTATATTTCTACAAGGATAGATGTGTTGTAGGCTTCCAGAATGTTCTAGAGAACTTTGTGAATGTCTGTAAGGACTCAGTCATCTAGGAGTAATGGTTTCTGTGGTCGGAAGAGACTGACTGTCTCAAACGCGATACCAATAGAGAGCCTTTGCGGCATAATTGAAAGATTGTGAGGGAATAGTGAGTTTGTGTCAGAGGCACACTAAGTTGTAGTCTTTGGTGGGTTTGCGTAGGTTTTAGAGGACCAGCATTGTTGGTATTTCTGATAGGAGTTGCTTCTTCGTAAGAATTAACTAAGGAAGTGTTATTCGATAAAATAGCTGGATTTGTAGGAGTTATGTGTTCTTTCTGTCGGTAAAATTATACCATGACATTTAGAAACGTTTTGGAGACAAAATGCCAATAACACCGATTTATTGTTTTTCTTTACTTAATATATAGAGAGATGATCTGCAACTTACATTTGGCTCCGTCACTGAAACATCTTCTCTGGCGTAAGTGCCTGTTGGCCCACCAGGGCTGGATGAGGTGTGAAAAACACAGGAACTGGCCCCGGGTCCAGGCGGGCCCCGGGTCCCATTGTACCCGGATGGTCCACGAAGGCCCTGAGCACCAGGTGATCCAGATGGTCCTGCAGGGCCCTGTGTACCATTATATCCTGGAGGTCCAGCAGGTCCAGCGGGTCCGGCAGGTCCGGCAGGTCCAATATCACCCTTGGAACTGTTGAGTCCCTGTTGACAAAAAGAACAATAATTTTATGGCTAAAAAAGGGAAGTTTCCAAAAAGACGAAATAATCATTTCACTGATACCGAGATGCACTTGAGAGGAAAGGTGGCAGGAGGCTTGAGCTGTCGCCACTGTTTCCTCGGCTCCCTCACGCGGAATTTTCTGGATCCGCCTCTTTACCTGCATCTGATTTATCCTAGTTTCCTTAGGAGAAGCTTACTCACAGTGCAAAGATCCTTTAGTTTGAGCCACCTTAGGAAAGCTCACAATCTATGATACACGGATCAATCGTTTAGAAAGCAGGGGTCAACCGATTTAAAACGCTTGGTAACTGCGATCGTGTCAATAGTCTCTGATCCACATCCAAAAATAAATTGCATGAATCGGTCTCCTTTCTACAGCGCTAATTCCATGCAGTTCATTAGCAAGAAAGGTAGGAAAAGTTACAAATTACCCTTATACTTATTTGGAAAGCAAGAGATTATAAACAATCTAAAATCTCATGTGGAAAATCGTTTCCTGATATAGTTGAAGGAACATTATGACAGTTGCGTTTTGATCAGGTGTAAATTCTAGTTCCATTGCGATCTCTGACTTCAATATGCTGAAAATGGGTGAACGAATATTTTAGGCCCTTTTCAGACAAGTGGACCTGATGCAAGTAGAAGATCTATCTGGTCACTAGTTTCGGTATTGGACACGATACAGGAAATGTACGGAAAGGTTACGTGACTCTTCGTTGACACGGTCAATTTCATAGATTCAGTAATATTTTCCATAACGTAAATAAAAATGACTCTTAAGGAACTTACTTATGCTTTAATAAACCAGGAGCGTTGCTTAGAATCGAAAGGTAAAAAAATTGTTGGCCAGAACTTCTCTGTACAGCTATGAAGAGGTTATGCATGTCGTGGTAAGATTACAGTGAGCTTTAATTTACCTGCTTTAATTTACTTCGCTCCGACGAAGGGCTAACGCTCGAAACGTCAGCTTTTATAATCGTAACGGTGGCCAATTTACCAATTCAACTTTTATGATATACTCAAATTATTTAATTTACTCTCCCGAGCTACAAAAAATGCATAACGCTTACACTGTGTGATGTAGATTTGAATAGCTGTGCAATCTTGCACATGAGAAAGAAAATGTGAAAAAAGGTAAAGGGGATCAGTTGTTGATATCAAAACTAATTCCTTTACCAATAAAATTTCCGCATTTCATGTATGTTCAGGATTAAACTTACATTGCATTTCACATTTTCCAGTTTCTTTTCCATCTGTAGAAGAGATAAGAACTGTTATTTTACAAACCCCACAGATATAATGTTTGGTTGAATTCTAAAGCCAAACAAACCAAATGATACTTACCTGATATCGCCGCACGCAACTCGAAGAAACAGGGATACATATACAAAACGATAAAAAAACACTAAAAAAAACTTACCTGCGTAACATTTTTCTCCAGATTCTCTAAACCTTTTGAGACCTGCCACAAAAATGAATGGAAAAGTTAACATAGAGAGACTGTGTCGTATTAAGAATACATTATTTGATTCAAATTAGTTTAATTGTCATGTGCCACGAGAAATGTAGGAAATTGAAAAGGTGGATTTGCATTGTTGTGTAACTTTTCATGCGAGAAAAGGAAAATTTGAATACAGTGAAAATAAAAAGTTAATATATGATTATACGGATGACAAAATCTAGAAAATGTTGACTGGTGCAAATAATGGCCATAAGATCAATGAATATTGAAATAATCTTTTACTCAATGAGAAAATCCATTATAGATATCAAAGGAAATAGTTAAAAAATAATTTTTTGAATTTTCATGGCTATTTACAGTAAACTTTGTTTTCCAACTCCTTTTTAGTCTGTCAAGAAAAATAGAATAACTTTTGGGCAATAGGGACATTTTTACTGTGTCATCGTTCTAAAACTAAACACAAAGATAGTTCATTCTTATATCGCTACCCCCTCCCTCTCCCCTCC